AACCCAAACCCAAACCCAAACCCAAACCCAAACCCAAACCCAAACCCAAACCCAAACCGAAACCCAAACCCAAACCCAAACCCAAACCCAAACCCAAACCCAAACCCAAACCCAACCCAAACCCAAACCCAAACCCAAACCCAAACCCAAACCCAAACCCAAACCCAAACCCAAACCCAAACCCAAACCCAAACCCAAACCCAAACCCAAACCCAAACCCAAACCCAACCCAAACCCAAACCCAAACCCAAACCCAAACCCAAACCCAAACCCAAACCCAAACCCAAACCCAAACCCAAACCCAAACCAACCCAAACCCAAACCCAAACCCAAACCCAAACCCAAACCCAAACCCAAACCCAAACCCAAACCCAAACCCAAACCCAAACCCAAACCCAAACCCAAACCCAAACCCAAACCCAAACCCAAACCCAAACCCAAACCCAAACCCACGACTAAGGTCAGACCCAATATTTTGACTTTTATTCATCTTAATTAATTATCTCAATAAATACTCATTATAAATCAATATATTATATATCAATATACTCCAAATTGAATATATAATCATATTATAACATAATATTACATCATTATAATGACTTATGTAAGTTAATTTCATATAATAGATTAGACAATTAGAATATCAATGAAAACATTTCAGAATCAATTCAAATCAATATATCATCTTATAAATCATGTTTATAACAATATATATCAATTTCAAATACTTTGGTATCTTTTCAAGAAATTTACTATTCAACTTGTCAACTGACCTATACTAACATTGAAGATAGAAATATATACCACTTCAATTCACTTCTAATACATCTATACATGATAATTAAATATATATATATGATTTAGAAGATCATCCATATCATACATGGTACATGGCTGATCCACTTGATACCTACAGGGATGTGACAATGACATCTACTATACAGATCATCATGAAACTGGTACAGGACCTTACTAGTGGTGTATAAACACTACTGTATCAGTTTCATGACAATTTGAAATCATTCAACATGCCAGGAGTGTAATCATGAGAATTATGAATATCAAGATAATGAAATCATATTAATTTTAAAATCTTTCAATTATAACATCATATATAGATCAATTAATCATGGTATTT